GAAGGTGGTGGATATGTTGGACCAGCATCCACAATGTCAACAGCTTGTTCTCGTCTGCCTCTTGTCATCTGTGGCATTGCGTCATTTGAATTAAAGTGACCTCTTATATTCCCTGACCAGGTGTTCAAAGTGACACCTGACTCGGGTGTGAACTCGGGTCAAGAAGTTGTCACCATGGGATGACTTTTAACATTTTCTCGAAGTAAGAAATGAAGATCATTTGCAGGCTGCATTTAAATTTTTGTTTTGTGTTGATTAAACCGATGTTCATACCTCTGCTGAGAAGTTGGCAAGCTGCAAGGTGGCACAGTGGGTAGAAGGTCGCAGGTTCACGTCCTGGTGGGGGCACCCGGGATCTTTCTGTGTAGAGTTTGCATGTTCTCCCCGTGCAGCGTGGGTTCTCTCCAGGTTCTCCAGCTTCCTCCCACAGTTCAAAAACATGTTGATGTTAATTGGTGATTCTAAATTGTCCATAGGTGTGAATATGAGTGTGCTTGGTTGTCTGTCTCTAAGTGTAGCCCTGTGATAGACTGGTTACCTGTCCAGGGTGTCCCCCTAAGTCAGCTGGGATAGACTCCAGTCCCCCTGCAACCCTAGTGAGGATGAAGCGGTGTATAGATGATGGATGGATGGATGAGAAGTTGGCCCTGAGTTTTGTCTGCAGGCTTCTGCTTGGAGCTCCAGCACAACCTCAGTCTGTCAGACGCTCAAGCTGTAGCCGGTATTTACTCTGAGACGGACAATCCAAGTTTCCTTGTCAGGATTTTACCAACTACACAGAGTCTAAAAAGGGTTTTAGTGAGTACCTTTAACTAGAAAGTCATATATTTGAACTGCAGTGTTTTGTGTGTTTGTGCGTCTTCTCGGCTCAAAACTCAAAAATGAGACATTCTGCCTTTTTGCAATTATAAAATGAGCATCATCAAATTGCAGTGTAGCCTTTATGTGGGGTTATACCCACTCACAGTTTTAAACTTAACGGTGTCTAACCAGTGACAGACAGATTAAATGTCATTGGGAGATAATTGGTAGCTAACAGGTGCGACACCGGGCCGGTCTGCACCTGCTGCTGGGGCCCGACTATCTACCGCAGCTAATAAGTCATTCTCCATGGTGCAGAGCTGCTCTTCCATTCAGGAGGCCTTGCCTTCAATGCTACCAACAGACTCCTTTCATTACAGACACCATTATGGCTAAAGGGAGCAGAGGAAGAACTAAAAATGTGGCCCGCTGAGCTGGAGATGCAGAGGGAGAGACCGATGATAAACGCAGCACTTAACTGCACTTTAACTTTATTTTTCGTCCATCTGTTTTTTTTTGTTGTTGTTGTTTTGATTACCTAAGGAGATTTATTTGGTTGAAGCATTTTTTTTAAAGATCTACGTCAGCAAACAGACGAGGCAGATGTTCGTTTAAGTTCAGCGGTTCTGTGTCTCGATTGTTATTACATTTATATCATCATGTTTTATCAGTGGCAACAAAAAAAAGAGGAGAAAAAAACCCCCAAACAAAACAACATGTTATTAGCATTATGTATCAGCCACCAGCCGCCCTGCTCATCAACCGCTGAGACGCCCGTATCAGTCGACCACCATCTCTTGAGTCAAACAGCTGTGGAACACCCACTCTGCCTGCAGTCGCTCTGCTTTCCCAGACTGTTGTTTTCGTTGCTCCACTTCCAATTAACATGATTTTTTTGTAATGCATGTTTATTCATCAGAGCGAGCGCTGCAGTGTGTTTGTGTTTTGCCGTGTGTGTGCGTGCAAGAAAAAAAAAACGGCCTGTCATTGTGAAGCAAGGTTATTCTGCTGGTGCCTTGGCTTCCCCGCTGTGCCCAGTGGTGCTCAGCCAATTAAGGGCTCTGTTGCCTCGTGTCTTCCTAACAAACAGCCAGGTCTGTTCCCTGTTCGAATCCGCCCCGCTCTCTCCTTCCACATACTTAACACCACTTATTTTTTTTTTCTCCTACATAATTCCTCCTCTCTATACCGATCTGTTGTGTAATTTCCACTGATGCGCTGCTGTTTGATCTCCCCAACTCAAGAAGCTCTATCGGTTGCTTTGTTAAGTCGTTTCCGTGTGATGTTTCTTCGCCCTCTTCATCTCATTACTTCTGCCTGTTTTCATCTCTCTCCTGTAATTGAGGTTTGCATGGTCAGTCATCGAGATTATGTCTCCGTCTTCATCGGTCTAATCCAGATAACCTCTGCGGTATTCTCTGCATATCTGTGCAAAAAAAAAAAAACAAATACCAGAAAGCCCAAAGCGTGACATGCTGCTGAGTTTGTAACAATCCTGAAACGTGACAAGGTCAGAGAGGTGCGACAGCGTGAGGGGAAAAACAATCAGCGTGGCGGGTGTTGTTGGGTTTTTTTTATCGGTCTCTTAAGCCCTCGTGAAGCCGGCAAGGTCAGATTTGGTGGATCAGAGGAGGCCACATAAGAGGGAAGGGGGCAGTGGGGCAGGGAGGATTAGGGAGGAGGCTGCAGCCATCTGTCAGCATATATACGATACAGTACGTGTGAGAAACAAGTGGGAAGATATGAATCCCACAAGCTGAGCTGCAACAGTGTGAGAGCTGATGATATTCACACTGCTGGGGTGACGGAAAATTACAAATGTCAGTATAGGAATGAAGTCACGGAAAAGTTTGAGAGTAGCACATACTTGAATTTTTTATTTTTTTTACCCAAGTTAGATCATAACATCAAATGAGTAGGTGGAATGATTTTAACTCCGCCAGCGCCGGTCGTCGAGCCTGTCAGTACATTCTGATATGTTTTTCAGATGTGAATTGTGCAGCGGCAGAAACGTACTGGATTGGCATGAATCGCTGTGCAAATAAGCGTGGTTTGTAGCAGATCGATACCACTGACTCCAGTGATCCCGTTTATCCTCCAGCACCAGCAGCAAGACGGCGTTTATGATTTTTAGTGAAACTATTGAATGAATAAACATGAACATTTGGTGCACTCGCTGGCCCTCCAGATGAATTATATTATAACCTCTCCTGACTGCCCGTCCGGCGCTATCAGCAGGTCGAAGATCTCTGTCGGACTCTGGTTACAAGACCTTTATTGTTAATATTGTCCTGTATACATATTAAGTATTGCTGCAGGACAGGAGGTCTGCTCATGGAAACATGGAGGCAGCAGGTTGGGGGTAGAAGAGGGGCCCACAGAGGCCCAGAGGCCCCTTAATAGTTTAAGCCGGCCATGCGCGTCAAACTAATGACATATTTCTATCAGCCGCAGCTTTACTTTGTGTTTAGCACTAATTAGCAAAAGGCAGCGTTTGAACTAAACTGATAAATTACCAAAGTAAATGTCCTCATGACTGATACGTTACAAGAAACTGCAATTCAAAATTTTCAAGAGCCCGTATTCTGCTTTTTGGGTTTTCTATTTTCTTTTATGTAGCAACTCATTTGTTTTTTGTTTTTTTTGGACACGCCAAAGAGAGTTCTTCCCTCCTACAGAAAACTTTACTCCTGATCTGCCTCAAACACCTCGTTTGAAGTCCAGGCTTCTCTTCCGTTATTTATTGACATCATCGTGTAACACACCTGCCTCCCAGTTCGTCAAACAAAGAGTGAGCAGCTGCCTTGTTGGCATCTGCCTCTACTAGGACGACATTTTCTTATACAATTATAAACCTGTGCACGTGGGCTCTTTAAACTGTAAATTAGGTTTTAGATTCTTTAGAAACTGTGTCTCAGTGCATAGTTTGTTCTCTACCGTTGACCATAAAGTTGGAATAATTTTTGTTTTCAGACACATTCCTTTTTTCATTTCTATTTCTACACATCAGTTATCACTTCTGACCAGGTGCAGTGATCACATACTGAGTCCCAGTTACCAGGTGAAACCAATTCTGACTTTGGGATCTGACTAAAGACTGGGACGTCCTGCCCATTGACACCATCAACCAGCTGGTGGACAGTATGCCATCATGTCTTAATGCTTTGATCCATGTCAGGGTGGCCTGACTCAATATATTTGAAGGAGTAATATTGGACATTCTTATGCATGAAATCCCCTCGAAAATTGAAATAAAACCCTTAATCCTCTTGTTTAATACCCCCAATTTAGTTTAATCCTGAATGCAGTTTGTAAAAGTTAATTGTGGTTTAATTTTTACTGTGTATTGTATGTATACTGTGATATCAATAAAGTTTTGAGAAGATATACACTTTATCTGTCAAGAATAAATTCATGAGAAGAGGTAAAAAAAAATATTTTTATTCCAACTTTATGGGCATCAGTGTTTTAACTGTAAAATGCTTCATATGTATGCTGGTCACAGTGAAGAGAAAAAAAAAGGCTATAGGCTAATATGTTTTCAGATCTTTTCCACTCTTAAATATTGATCAGTATCAGCTTTAAAATTCCAGCATGAGTTGGACCGTCGTTAGCAGGGTTTGCTCAGACTGTTTACTCCTGTTTCCTGAGTTGCTGTCATGCTATGAGTGATTGCACCGCCGAGCGTCAGCATCAGTGCTGTCTGCTGTGAATCTGAGGGAGCAGGATGCCTCGGCTCCCGGCTGCCTCCCATCCAAGCAGCCTGCTGCTATCCATTATCCACCTGCTATTAATTCATCACACGGCTAAATAGAGTGGGCTGTAGCCTAAAACATGGGGAAGGGTTAGCATTATGATGTGATTAATATAGTCTAGTTGGCTAACTAGCATCATTTATTGTCTTAGACTGGAATAATCAGACTTTAAGGCTGACGTTGCTCCGTTTCTCCTCATCGATCTGTCTGCACTCCGCTGATGAAGACGCGACTCATTCAGATGCCTGTAAAAAATCAGCTCCTGTATTGTTTCCCCCCCTCTGTAGTGTCTGTGGTTGCCATGGTCACACAGCAGGCTGCAGCTGGAAAAGTTGAACCGCCGGGAACCTCGGTACAGACGCGCTGCCGTCTGTCTGCGGATTGTCGCTGAAAACAACTCAGAAACACTCTTGACCTCGTCGTCGTCGACTCTTGTGTTTTCAGGGTCAACCACCTGCACTACCAGGCTGATGAGTATGGAGAGGACCCTGAAGTGGTCGCTTATGAAGATGGAGACTATGACCATGACTACCACAGTGACAACAGGTAGGCTGAAGCTTGTTTAAACACACACACAGTTCAGCCACAATATACGAGGCGCGTCAGAAAAGTTCAAGGCCTGGTGTCGCAAAAGATATATTTCAAATCCAAACTACAAACTTCAGAGTAATCCTCCTGGAGTCTGACACACTTCCCCAGCCTTGTCTGCCGCCATGCACTCCTGGAAAGATTCTTCCGTCGTCACAGTCATCTTGATGTCGTCCACGTCTTCTAAACCTTGATGACCCCCTTGAGCTTGGGGAAGAGGAAATAACCCCACAGTAGCCAGGTGGGGTGAGAAGGGAGGTTGCACCAGTATGGAGATGTTCTTCTCAGCCAGATGCTCAGGGAGTTGTGAGCAGGTTGTCATGGTGAAGCAGCCATGACTACAATTCTCGCCTCTTCTGAACGAAGCGAACGCCGCAGGATCTCTTTCAGACGTGCTGGTTGATCGTCTGAAGGGGAAAACTCGCTCGTAGTTTGTAGTTTGGGTTTGAAATATATCTTTTGTGACACCAGTCCTGGAACTTCTCTGACACACCTGGTACACACCAAATTTTGATCTACAGTGAATTTTTATTTGACTGTTAAGTTTATCGTGGCTGGAAATGACATTAACTAGTGACAGAAGATGGTAAGACAGTGTGTTTGAAATGTTAATGATAAGTTTTACCTATATCTACCTTTTGTCTTTACATTTTTAATTAAATACATTTTTATCTAAATTGTGAAATGCGACTTCTTCACTCCTCCAAATGGCTCTGGCAATTTCTATGTTTAGAGCTTGATTTCACGGTCTGTCACTGACGGGGAGCTGCGCATTGTGGCTGCTCACAGAGACTATAAAACTATATCAAAGTGTTTTTCAGTGCCAGTGGCCACAGTCCAAAGCATCATCAAAAAGTACAAGAAGTTTCACACAGAAAAACCTCACAGGGCGTAGCAGGAAGCCAAAACAGAACCCTGCCATCCTGATGAATCGGAGCAATTCCGGGACCGACAACAACACCGACACTCTGAACGGGGCTGATCTCCGCAGACACCGACCAAAGAGGACTCCACTTCTCCGTGACAGACACGCAAAGCCTCACCTGGACAAAGAAGAAAGCTGCTGCTCATCAGCTCCGCGGTCAGATGAGGTGAAAACAGAGTTGTTTGAACACAGGGAGGCGACTTTTGTTTGATGAAAGAAAGCAGAAGCATTCAACCCCAAGAACATCATCCCGCGGTCAAGCATGGTGGGACAAACCTAATGCCCCGGGGTTGTTTTTCAGCTGATAGACCGGGCAACCTTGTCAGAGTAAACAGCATCATGAGAGAAGAGAATGGCATTAATGATTGTGGAGGAAAACATCAGACAGCCGGCAGGAAGCCTTGTCCTTGGGTAGCACTGGACTGTCTGACAACACAGTGGCCTGAAAGTGGTGAAGAAACGGAAAACACAAAACTAAAGAAGATGTTGAAGTCCAGACCTGAATCCCATCGAGGATCTGTGAGGGGGGGGGCGCCGAAGGCCAGAGTCATCATCACAAAGAGGAGCTAAATCCCTGTGGAGACACGCAGGGAGCTCGTTAGCAAGAAGATGTGTGATTGTTGTGGTGGCAAATAAAGGCTTTGCTGCTGATTACAGAGAAAGAGTCGGGACAGTGGTGGCATTTTTAGAAAAAACAGAAATAGTTTATACATCATCAAGGTTTCCAACACAAACACGTCTTACTGTCCTACAGCTGTCACACCTCAAAGTGATGAATTCAATCAGCCTTCTATCCGTTATCTCCCTCACATGGCCTCTGGGTGTGTCTTCTGATAAAACACCAGGACAAAACTGATCTCAGGATAAAAACTGACACAGTGGTTTCATGAACGTGGACGCACAGGCCCGATAATATTTGTGTTTGAAAGCCAGAGTGCAGATGGTCATTTCGAGTGTGCCCTCTGCATGTGCCACTTCACAGACGAGATTAAGTGTAATTTCCTCCAAACGATTTCTTGTTTCCATGGTGAGATGTATCGCACAAGTCTTGCGTTATTGCCGAATGGGTTGAGGAAATGAGAAAATATATCCTTATCGTGTTGTTATCGGCACAGCAGCAAATAACTATAATCAGAAATTGAAAACTGAAATGATTATAATAACAATCTCTTGTAAATGATTTCTGCCTCTCTCACGCTCTCCCTCCTGTTCGCTCTCTCTTCCTGCGGCCAATTCAGAGTGAAGAGGAAATCAAGCAGCTCTCCATCCCCTCGTCCAAAGAAGAGGAAGAAGAAGAAATCTGGCCGTCGAAGGAGTCGGTGAGTGGAAACGGCTTCCACTGATGAAGTGGTCGATTTTCCTCCTCCTCCTTCTTCTTCTTCTTTTTTTCTTCTTAGCCCCGCTGACAGAATAATTACACTGTTTTTGTGAAACAGAATTCCAATTATTTTGGTGTGAATATTTCAAACGAGCCATCAGATACTGTGGAGAGCGGGAGGGGAGTGATTAGTACGTTCTCATCTTCCATTTTCTTTTGACAAGGTCAGCAAAAGAAGGAGAGAGAAAGCGAGCGGGAGAGGGATATAGGTGTGAGAGCGAAGACTGAATGAGAGGAGAATGGCAGAGGGGATGAATGGAGCTGGGGACAAAGAGAGCCGAGAGAGAAATCAGCCGGGCCCCGATATAAGATGACACCTTTGCTAACAATGCTCCTCTCTGAAGTGTAATGTAATGCAACATAATGATGAGCGAAGAGCCAGGACTTAGCAGCGATCTGAGGCTCATTTTGCACTCACGGCATGCGTCCCTCTCCTTCTCTTCATCAATAGGTTTGGCAGCTCCTCGCCCACTCGCAGAGAGAAAAAGAAAAAGAGTGGGAAGAAACACAAGCGAGACAGGTGAGTGTGTCGTCACAAGTCAGAAACTCTGACTCTGGAGGGTTTGCCAACAGTTGCCCTCACGGTGATGGATGTTTAGAGAGTTTTAATGTCTCCCTGATCAAACACATGAATAAGCAGCTGCACAGTGAGGTGGATGGAGGAACATACTGCTGGGTTCTGTCACTGTGGGAAGTATTTCAGACTCTATATCATGGTTAGATTTGGCTCATGTACTTGTTTGCATCTTGCCAATTATTGTCAAGGGAGGAGGGAAAGATGAAAGGACAAAGAAGGGAAGAGAAAAGGAAGAATGAAAGGATACTGGACAGGAAAATACTGTGAGTCAGGGAAGAAGAGAAGGGATGAGGAGAGAGGAGAGGGAAAAGGAAAGACTAATTTAAAAAATATAAGAAGCTAATAATTTCTTTTTCAGGAAAGAGGAAAGGAGGAAAAATAGAATTCTAAGAAGAGATGAATCAAATAGTTAAGAGAAAGAAAGAGGTAGTGAAAGAAATAATGGAAAAACTAGAAGAAAAAAGTGGAGAAGATAGGATGAAGAAAAAGGAAAGACATATACAACAAAGGAGAGGTGAGAATTAAAGGAAGCCAGGATGAAGGAGGGAAAATAAGGCAGGATGGCATAGAAAGAAGAAGACAAAAAAAAAAGAGGGAAAATATGAAGAAAGGAGGAGGGAAGAAGGAAAAGAGGTGAGACATGATTTTAGAAAAGAAAAGACAAGATGAAAAGAGAGGAAAGAAAGCAGGAAAAGGAAGAAATAGTTGATGGACAAAAGTAGGAAGGGTGGAGAAAACGTGGAGAATGGGAAGTAAAGGAGGAAGAATTAAGGTGGAAAAAAGGGGCACAGATGGAAAGAAGGAAAAGAAAAGTTACAGGAAGAGAGAAGAAAAGGGAAGTGGGGAAAAAAAAGGATAGGGAAGAAGGAAAGGATGAGAGACTAAGAAACAGGAAGGGGAAAAAGAGGATTTCTTCTTTTCAATAAAAGTTTGAAAGGAAGAAAAAGAAAGAAGCAACTAAAACAGGAATAAACTGAAAAGGAGAAGGAAAGGAAGAGAGAAAGGAGGAGATAAGGGAGGAAAAAAGAAAGAGAAAGGAAAGACATAAATGAGAAAAGATGGAAAGAAAGCAGAAGGAAAGACAACCAGAAGGAAAAAGGGGGAAAGATAAAAAGCAAGAGGGACAGGGACTAAAAATTGAAAAAAGAATAAAAACAGGAGGGAGGGAAGGCAGAAAGGCAAAGTGGGAGAAAAGGAAGGAAAGATGTGGATAAAAGAAGAGAATAAAGAAAGATGAGATTCAGAGATGGGAAGAAAGAAGAAGAAATAAAAGAGGGAGAGACAGCGATAAAGAATAGAAAAAATGAAAACATGAAACGAAGAGATGAGATGGAAGGGAGAAAGAGAGAAGATGTAAAACAAAGGGGAGAAGGAAGTGGAGAGGGAACGCTGCAGAGCTGCAGACCAAAGATATGAGGGATGAAAATGAGAAGAGAAGGAAGAGAAGAGGAAGATGAGATGAAAGAAAGAAATGCAGAAGAAAGAAAGGAGGAGAGATTGGAAAGACATTAAGAAACAAAGAGAGAAGAAGAGACAGAGAGAGAGCAAAGAGCTCATCAACAACAACTTGTGCAGGGCCCTGGGATATCATAACGACAATAAGCAATTGTAGAGTGGTCTCCTCCTCCTCCCCCGTCTCCCTCCCCCCTGACTCGGGGGGAGGAGAGGCTCACTGTATTGCTCTAATAACCCAGCCTGAATGGGGGCGCACAACATAAGAAAAATGAGCCTCTCACTAAATTGCTGAGCATCAGTGCGCCGCCCCGCTCTGGTTTCCCACCTCTCATCCATCCAGCAGCATCCCACTCCTCTCCTCGTCCCCTCTCCTCCCTCACCCGCCTCACACCCAGGATGCTCTGCATTGCAGGTACTGTTGATATATGAATAATGTATAGAAAGCGCAGGGAGGAGGAGGAGGAGGAGGGGGGTGTCCTCCCCAGAGACGTCCTCCTTTGATTGTCTTTTTTTAAGGTGCACATTAGGAGGGGAGGGGGAGGTGACTACATGCTCCCGTCCTGTAAAATCCTGCTGCTTTGCGATTTGCACCTCACTTTGAAGCACCAGGTTGGGCTCGTGCCATTTGGACGTCTCACCTATAGCGTCCTTGCAGCAGCAGCGGCGAGGGATTGAGCTGTGACTGACCAGAGCGTGTGGGAGAAGAGACGAACGCCGTCCTCTCCAGAATAACACCTCGCATGCAGCAGTCCCCAGCTGCTTCCCTCCACTGGGGGAAACATGGGCCTCTCTGAGTCACATATCAGCCACATACATTACTGTGACAGCTTTATTACTCCCCTCTCAGCAAATCAACACTCTTAGCGCCGCCGCCGCTCCCTCCCACTCTGCTGCATGCTGTAGGTGTGTAAAACAGCAGGGGAGATGTAGGGCTCTTCAGGAAAACAGCAACAACTCTCACAGACCGGCCTGACTAATCACCATGGAAACTGCAGCGAGGGTGAAAGTGATGTGAAGGTGATGTGTCAGTCCGACGCCGAGGACCGAGGAGAGGCCAGGCCTCCCCGTCATTGCGCTCTAAAGTGGATCCGGCGCTGAATGCGACTTCATTCCCACTTTGTGGCGGCGGCGTCTTCTACAGCTGGAAACAGGAAGACATTAAGCGTGACAGCCAACACCTGTAGAATACAAACCCGCTGCGAGAGCTCCCCGGGGATCCCTGCACATATGGATGCATGTGATTCAGAGTCATTTGAGAGAAATGTACGTCGTTGAAGGAGCGGAGGTGTATGCTGGAATGTTGCAAACCTGTTGCTCTTTGTTGAGTTGTTGTGCTGTTTACGTTCACAAAAGGTGTGGAGGGGTATTTGGCTTTGGCTTTATTTGATAGGACAGAGAGAAAGACAGGAAAGTGGGTTAGAAAAATGGGGGAAGGACCTGCAGCAAAGGGTCATGAGCGCGACTCAAACCAATGACCGCTGCGTCAGGGACTTTGGCCCCTATACATGGGACGCCAGCTCAACCGAGTGAGCTATAGTGGCGCCCATATACACTAACATTTGAGTCCAGAGCTAACATCCATACACACTGACCTGCTGGCACTTTAAATCCACTGGCCTGATAGTTGTGCCACCAAAACAGCTTGGACCTGTCGAGACATGATCTCCACAGAGCTGTGAAGGTGTCCTCTGGTAACAGGTACAAATCCTTTAAAGCCGGGGTAGGCAGGAATCTAGAAACGGTTTAAAGCACAACATATATATAATTAGCCACAGTTGTGAGCTTTTGGTTATGGTTAGCAGAAATCTAAACAACCTAAACAACCTCTACAACACATTTAGATGTAATAAGAGAATGAATTTAGCAGCAGGAGCAACCGCAGGCTCAGGATATAGTCGTTAACGGCTGCAGCTTCGATACACTTTCCACTGCGTTTATTGTCAGATTCTCTTTTTGATAACTCTGTCCTTCATTTTTTTGGGGTTGCTATGCAGAGCTGCACTTGTTGCCAGGGCTGGAGCTTTTCCATTTAATCCACCACCTGAAAGGACGTTCACAGGCGTCTGTATCTGTGTAGCAGCCAATGGGAACAGCGGCCTCTACCTTTGAAAAGACCTGATTGGTCAAAGTCTCCCCTTGTTGCTTAGATTTCCTACAGCCTGGAAACAGAGACAGGAGGAGGTGCAGAATTCTGGTTTCCTCTCAGATTGATTGAATTACGATGTGCCGACAGGTTGGTGTGGAATCAGTGACGCTAAAAAACAATCCTGCCTACCTCAGCTTTAAGTCCTTGAAGTTGTGGCTCCAGTTCATTCCACAGACTGAGTCCAAGTCAACATCTTGAACTCTTTATCATGTTCCTCAAACCATTCCTGAACAGTCTTTGCAGCGTGTCAAGAATCAGACACAGCAATCAGAACATGGCTCGGAGCATCACACGGCCTCCACTGGCTGGCTTTTTTTTTTCCAGACAGTGCATCCTGCTGCAATCTGCAAAGGTCAGTGTGGACACAACCCCCCTGCAGGCTGTTCTAACACCTTTCTATCACGGCAACATTGAGATTTTCAGCATGTTCTGCTACGGTGGCTCTTCCTTAGGATCAGACTACACAGGCCAGTTGATTCGTCACATCAACGTCAAGAACTGAGTGTTCACTCGCTGCCTGATGCGTCACGTATCACTGACAGGTGACAGGCGTAATGAGACACTTACCGTTATTCACTTCACCTGCCGGTGGTTTTACTGTCACGGCCGGTTGCTGCATGTAGTCGATGTAATAGCGCTGCTGCTCAATAAAGGTTTTCTGTGTGAAGCTACACGTGTTCGGGGACTTTATATAGTCTCAGTGTTATGGGGACGGCTTGAAGCGAATATAAAAAGGTGGAGCACAGATTGACGACAGCACAGATTAGATTTTTTGGTTTCACCCTTTTAACATTCGTCCTTTTAACATACAACCTCTGGTGTCCTAGAATTTATTCCAGGAAGCAGGTTTAGTAATTCCCAGAACCACCTCAAATCTGGAACGTAGACTGATGTTAAAAAAAAATTAAAACTTTTCTGGTACAAGGACAACGTGGACATGTTATCCAGACTGCTCCTGGCTCCTGGTCTCCACACTAACTGCAGCCAGTGTATGAATTATTCAGGTGTATGTGATGTCGCTGACACCACGATGATTTTGTTTTTGCAGATCTGCATCTGGCTCCAGGAAAAAGAGAAGATACAGGTGTGTACGGAGCAAGAACACAGCAGATCATAATGTCACCGGTGTTGTGACGGTGTGCTTCAAAGCAATATGCCTCAAATGAGTTTTTCTTATGTAACGTGTGTTATTGTCGTTTCTGCCTATTGATTACCATTTGTTCAAACAACAATGCAATCCATGTAGGTGAGTGGTACACTGAGTTCCCTGCTTTATTGCACACGGCTTCATTATCTTACATATGACTTTTTGTTTCAGGTCGGGCAGCCCAAAGAACAAACACAAAGACAAGAACAAACAGAAAAAGAGGTGAGATGCACATGGAGTCTCTCCCTGGTAAATCTCTAATGCATGTTAATAGAAGTGGAGCGTAGACAGGAAAAGCTTCGGCTGTTTTCATCAACGGAGAATAACCAAGTTTCATTCATTTTAGGTATATATAAATATATCCTCACATCGGCACCATGTATGAGTAATTTAAGCACAATTTGTCCTCTGTGACCAGTGAAACAAACAACCAGCAATATTCTCAGTCTCCTCAACAATGGGTCCAATCGGAGTCACATTCAGTCTCTCATAAATTTATATTGGTATTTTACACTCATTATCTCAGGCTCAGACTCACAGAGAATGTGAACAAGTGTAAAGCATCTACTGAGCATTATGTCTTGAGTTCAACACAATTTCGATGCGTTGCACCCCGTCTTGATTAGAATATATATTGAAAGTGTTTGGCAGTGCATGACCAGTTTTACATATCGTCAGATTGACTGCTGAGCTCGCTGTGGCATGTGTGTCCTCATGATGCGTACATGGTTTTGTGTATGTGTATATGTATGCATGCATGTGTCTGTGTGTTTGTTTGTGTGTGTGTGCGTGTGTGTGTGTGTGGTGTGTTCGTCCGTTTGCTGTCACCCGTCAGGTCCCCCGGTGAGACCCCCGGCAGGAGTTCACAGCGTCAAGGCAGCTGCTGCAGCTCCCGAAGCGCCTCCCTGTCCTCCACTCGCAGCGCCTCCAAATCTCCCACCAGGTACACACACAACACACACACACACACATGCTTGGTTTCATCACACACTGATATTGCCGAGCTGACTGTCAAGCGGTTGCCGTGGCGACTGTCAGTCTCTCTCTCTCTCATTTACCGTGGGGCCCCCGGGGGATAGATTAGGATACAAATGGGGCTCCTCAGCACGTCCTATAATAACCCCCATTAAACGGGTGTGATATCTCACTCTGCACTCGTGTTTTCATCCTGATGACAAAAATATTCAATGTTTGTCACACTGTTGGTTATTTTTCTGTTTAAAAAGATACTGGGGCGCCGCTACAGCTCACCTGGTTGAGCTGGCGTCCATGTATGAGGCTACAGTCCCCGATGCAGCACTCATGGGTTCCAGTCCTGCTCATGACGCTTTGCTGCAGGTCCTTGCCCTGTTCTTCTCCCCCCACTTTCCTGTCTCTCTCTCTCTGTCCTATCCAATAACGGCAAAAAAAAGATATCGATATGTTACACAGTGGCCCAGCTTTTTAAATGTAACATGGACTGCAGTGGAGTCAAAGATTTCCTCCTCAGCAAAGTGCAGGAGCCCCTCAGAGGACAGGACGATTCCATCTCTGTTTTGTTCAGCTTATTTAGCCCAGACGCACATTTAACAATTCAATTTAACATCCATATGAGGTTTTTTTTTTTTCCGCCTAATTCAGCTGCTGAGAAGTGGCCTCCCCTCAGCCGGGCCCCCGTGCCAATTTAATGTCTTAAGGCGATCTTTTTATTTCTTTCGCTGCGCTGATCTTTATTTTACTGAAATAATCCACTCCATAGAAAACAGTGAGATCCAAAAGAAACGAGGCTGCTCAGTATCAGAAGTCTGTGTATTTTATCGGTTCTCAGACTCGTCTCACTTCTAAGCTCCACATATAAGCTTCAGTTTCTCGTTGCTTTGGCACAAATCTCACTAATAAATGAAGGAATCTCTGTATTTGTGACTATCTGGTGTTTAGATAGGGCTGCAAGGTGCAGCAGTGGTTAGCACTGTTGCCTCGCAGCAAGAAGGTCGCCGGTTCACGTCCCGGTGAGGACACCCGGGATCTTTCTGCATGGAGTCTCCATGTTCTCCCCGTGCAGCGTGGGTTCTTTCCGGGTTCTCCAGCTCCCACACAGTCCAAAAACATGTTGAGGTTAATTGGTGATTCTAAATTGTCCGTAGGTGTGAATGTGAGTGTGCTTGGTTGTCTGTCTCTAAGTGTAGCCCTGTGATAGACTGGTTACCTGTCCAGGTGAACCTGCCTTCACCCTGAGTCAGCTGGGATAGACTCCAGCCCCCCATGACCCTAGTGAGGATGAAGCGGTGTGTAGATGATGGATGGTCTTTAGATATCTTCAGTACATCTGATCTACTTCAGACTTGGTTGGTGTCTTGCTGGGGAACCAAGCACGTGCAGTGTTGAGTTTAAAGTCATCAAAATCAGAGTCAACTTTACCGGCCAAGTTTGTACAAGCAAGTAATAAATTATTTAAAAATCAGGTTAAAGTTGAGGAGTAAAGAAATTAGCAAGAAAAATAAAAATAAGCGCAATATGAACATCCATAAATAGCAGCATTCACAGTGGAAGTGCGGCGGCCATCTTGCTAATCATGTGCTCGCTAGTCATGTGGATAGGCAGTGACCGTTTGGTTTTTTTTTTTTCTGTTTAATCACTGTGACATCTGCCTCTGCTGATGCAAGCATCCCTGTGACAGCAGGCGCTGTCGTAGTTTTTTACATCTTCTGTGTGAGTTCTGTGTAGCTGTGGCGGTGACGTCTGACTGTGGTGGTTGGTTTGCTCAGCACATGCTCTTTGTTTTCCTTTTCAGTGCACATCTGTTCGGATGGAAGTTTTAGTTGGTTTAAATTTAGAATAAAGATGGTGTGCATTGTGAGAGCTTTGGGGGGTGGCACAGTGGTGCAGTGGAGCAGTGGTTAGCACCGTCCTCACCTCACAGCAGCAGTTGGACCCTGCCGGTCATCTCCTGTCTGGAGTGTTCTCACTGTGTGACATGTGTTCTGGGTTCACTGGTGATTCTAAATCTGCTGTAATCTCCAAATAAGAAGATGATTTATTTCTGATGAGAAAAGAAAAAAAAGACCATTGTGACTAATTTCCCGGTGGGCATCTCAAGTGATCGCAGAATTAATCACATGTATTAACAGAGCAGGAACAGCCAATCAGAGATGATCCATCTGCCCAGTAGTTTATCAGTTTAAAACATGAGTCTGTAAATCTGACAGTAAATGTTGTTTGTGTGAAATCAATATATTAAATCAACAGAAATCTATTGTTGTTTATTAACCCTGTTCAGGACTTTCATGTTTCCATACGTAGAAGGTCTTTCAGGATCCACTGAACCCAAGAAAGAATATGTGCAAAATATTTGTTGGTATTCGTTATAAACTTTAATACAATGTTAAATACATTTTTTGAGAAGATGACGTATATTTGGTTCCAAATGTCCCTCTTTTTATATTAAAAAAGAAATTCAAAAAAAAAAAAAAGACAATACCTGTCACCTAAACCAGATGGTCTGGGGTCCAAAAGACCCCAACAGTCCTGAACAGGGTTACATGTAAATATAGAAATAGTGGTTAAATAAAAGGAAATCGATTGAAATCAAAATAGAAATAATAGTAATAATGGATGTGACTGAAACTGAGGAATTCTGCTGCTCTTAGATGAGCTACATCAGAGAAGGAAACACAGTCAACCATCCAGATGCTCTATTGTTATTTCCGGTTACTGTCGGCTCCTCTGGTTAACACTGTGCTGTGTTGTGCTGCTCTGCTCTTCCAGGCTGAACTCCAAGCACAAGACGGACGGACAGAAGGCGTCGGGGACCTCGCTGTCTCCGGGCCCCACCAGTCCCACGGCGTGGCACAACGGGGACCACACCCAGCGAAGCCGCAACGGCAAGGCGGGCAGACTCAACCACGCCGAGGGCGAGAAAGGGAACGATGTATGTACTCTCCTCTATTCTGCTGCCACACCCCCACCCTCCCCACCACCCACTCCAGCGGTATCTTCCACAGTCTCTGCAAATGAGTTTTAACTTGCTCTCTTGTGTTGGTTCACATGAATTCTCATCTTCTCAGATAGTGAACGGTTTGTTTTTGTTCTTTTGTCAGTTACTCCTAGGTTGTAGGCCCGTTATTATTATTACCATGAATGGTCTTGTTTTTCACATGTGAAAGACCCTCCTGTCCTGTGTACAACTTGCCGCTCCTGCTGCTTTGTTTCTGGCTCTCTTTGACTCCTCTGCCATCTTGTTTTTTTTTTTTTCTTTTTCTTTTTTTTTTTTTCTTTTTCCTTTTTGTTCTCGTTGTTTGCCAGTAACAGAGCGAGGGAGCAAAGAGAAGAAAGTTTCTCGTACTTCTGTTCAGCACACCTCCTCTGAGTCAGAGCACAATATTAGCATACCACACCTTAGATGGAAATCTGAGCAGCACCGGCACACCGTGTTTCCAAATGAATGAGCACAAAGATGTGTTGTTTCTTCTGAGCGGCTGCCTGCTAAGGCATGAGACAAATAAAAGAGAAAGTTGTGCCAGGGAAAGGTGTGACTACTTCAAACATTTGCTCCCCCCACAACAGGTCCATACCCGTGGAGAAATATCAAAGCAAATGTGTCTGTCAGCAGTGATAACTTCTGCAGTTTTACTGCCGATAAAGTCCTAATTAGCCAAAGTTGCAAGAGTAACAATCAGATGTCTGACGGTGCTTTAAAGTGATTGCAATCTGCAATTCCTCCTTGAACTGACTAATCCAATTACTTAATGGAAAGTCCTGATCCAAGCAGGCCACAATGAGTTGTAACATACGAGCAGGTTGCAGCTCCAAGTGTTCCTTTAAAAAATGAAAGTAAAATTAAAAACAAATCAAACATGGAGACAAACTAAAACACTATAGACAGATATATATGTATAGTTATTCTTCATGAATTAGCTCTGTCATAATTAAATGTCAAAACATAGTTTAAAGGACAGAAATATCACTTTTTACCTTTAATAACATTAATTCAGTGTTTTTCTATGAAAATATGTTTTTTCTAGGCACACACTTAAAATCACACCTAAATAGAAGTTAACGCCTCTAACTTGTGTTGCATGATTTATTTTTTAGTGCTGCTGAATATGAGCTCAGGGTTACAAGAAGGACTTAAATCAGAATGTACAGATTTAATTAGGCTGCTTTGAAGTGAGTGTGGCTCAGGCCCACAGAGTGGAGCTGAGATGAGTCACGAAAGTGTTTTTATGTTGTACAGGAAAACAAAAGAGGAAGATTTTCATGGTAAAAGAATATATATACACACATATGGACAGAATTTAAACATAGAACATCTATTTTTCATTACATGGTGTCTATACATTTGTAACAGAAAGCAAGGTGGTGTTTTTTATTTCAGCGTAGGTGTGCCGATGCTAAATATAAAGTGCTGTCGTTAGTTTACTGAGGAAGTCAGAGGGAGCATTTTCTTGTTTTGGACATGGTGAGGCATCATTTGCCAAAATAAAAAACCACCACAGTTTAGGGTTTTCCTGCGAGCTGCACACACACTGTTGACATTTACTTATATTTATCATTGCAAACACTACTGATAGTCAGTCACAACAGCTCAATACTTGTATTTTTACCATAATTTTTCATTTAAATATGACTGTAGATGCAAAGGCTACAACATTCAATCTTCCCAGCAAGGTTTTTGGTTTAATTTGTTTTCATTTTGGCCTTTTAAGTCTTCCATAGGATCAGTCGTGTCCTACAGCTGCATCGTGCGTCCTTAAACATCCCACGTGAGGATTTCTTGAGGAAACAGAGGAGTTTTTTTTATGTTGTTCAAACAAAAAAAACAAAAAGCACAATATGCTCATAAAACACAAAGTGGTATAAATCATCCATCCACTCCTCCCTACCTGTCCAATCTGGAACTGCTCCGTGTTTGTTTTGGCGCCTTTGAACATAACCATTTCTGTTCGTCTCTGATTACCCCAAAGACAATCCCTGTGATGAGTTTAAAATTACTTTCTACTGTAATGGAAACAACCTCGCTTCCCCTTATTGCAAATGGATCACTGGAGCCACGGTAGGATGACAGATTACGTTGGAATAAGAACCAAACATGTCAGTTAAAGCGAAGGGATGGCCTGTGAAATAAACGTCCTCTGATGAATGTGCATCTTAATGGGCTGCAGACACCCTGTAAACACTCCTGATGTCTCCTATTTCCTACTCCAGCCTGCATGTGTCGACGAGGTCTCACCTGATCTCTCTCTTTCTCTCTCTCTCTGCTTATTTCATTCATTACTGTTTTGTTTTTTTTTCTCCTTATCAGTTTAAGTGGTATTTTACCCATGAATAAATGCCCAAATCTTTCTGTCTCGTTTACATAAAAAGCACTCAAATGCTTTGGAGCTGGACCAAGTAGGTTAACTGGGTATGTGTACTAGTTTCTTCTTGTCAATACAGTTGTCTTTCTTCTCAAGCACATGCTCTGCTCAGTGATAGATCCTCTTCTCCTCCAGGCGTCCGACAGCTCCTGCCAAACCACCAGGGGTTAAACACATGCTCCTCTCCACTGCTTTACGTTACCATGTCGATGTGCATGTCGCCCCTAGGTGGCAGTATCTCTTCTGTCCCTGACTTTTTTTTGTTTTTGTTTCTACTCTGTGTGTTCAGGCCAGTGGAGAGTGGCGAGCGACGCCACGTACTTTTGTAGTCGGGATGTAGTTGTAACAATAGAGGAGCATGTAATTGGCTCTTTCTTTGTTTTTTTTTAAAGCAGCATCTCTGTAGCATAAAGCGATGCTCTTGTTATTTGCCACCAAAAGCTAAAAACAACATTGTGAAATTTGCCAAAGTGAAAGTATGCACAGGAGGATGGTTACGTGTGACTGAAGTTTGATTTTATTGTAGCAGTTGTGTGATTTTAGCAAATGTTTCCACATAGTAGCTCTGGTTCTCTCTCTTATCATCTCAGTTTGTGTTCCTGTAGTCGTCCTCCAGCTCTGCTTGGCATTGTCTCGTTCGCTGTGTGGGAGGCAGTCCCACAGATGTCCCACAGAAGAGCTCAGGGCAACAGCTGTGTGCTGCCTGGCAAACTAACAAGTCAGTTCTTCACTTCTTAAAGCCTCTTTTATTTGTAGAAAACTGAAACATGGCGTTAGAAAATACTTAAGGGATAAATTTTACCTTCGTGCAGCTTGTTCTGGAGCGTGCAACGGGACCCTTGCTGGTCCACGATTAAAAAAAAACAAAAACAAAACACCTGCTACAATTGTGGCTTCACCTACCGTTATGATCTCCTAAGTGAAGGACAGCTGAAGCCGTTATTGGGCTTTTTTTTTGTGGTTTCGCCTGCTCCTGACTGAAAAAGAGCAAAACCACCAAACAGAGTATGGAGGTCAACCAGACGCCTTTATTTGTTCGTTCAGCTCAATTAAATTTATATAATTCTAGCTTTACAACATGTCTAAAACCAGTAGATGAGTTGATCACAGATGTCTCCAACAATGTTGAAACCCAGAAAAATCCGTAATGATACTTTTCATTTTGGTTTTAGTTGTGAATACACATGATGTAACCTCAGATAGAGTTTCGTTCACAATTATCATGAACACAACAGCTGCTATGATCCCACGCTTCTCTAAACTACTTCTTTTGTTACCATTTGGATTGAGATCCCCTTAATGGCAAAAACTACTGAGCATATCCATATTTTTGATGAATTTTGAAGCCTTAACCCTTCGAGGTCTTGGCCTGTTTTGGCCTTTTTTGCATCCTTGTAGTTTTGTCTTTTTATACCACATAGAAACATGTTTACAGGCCCATGTTTGGTATCTTTTTTTTTTAGCACAACATCCGCTGTATGATCTGACTATTGTTTTTTCACTTGAACCTAATATATTAACAGTTTGGGCTCAAAAACACACAGAAAATATAAAATCCAATTTGAAAAAATATACTATTTATTGCAATGAAACACACAAACATGCTTAACGAAGCATTTTGAAAGTTGGAAATGTAAACATAGGTTGCTCTAAGAGTTAAGTTAGTTTGATTTTAAAACTAGACATGACAAGAGAAAGGACAATTTAAAAGCACTACACATGCCCTTACAGTAGTAACTTGTTAATCACACGGTAGCCCCGCCCCAAAGTATCCCCTACTTTATCATGTACTTAACTCTAAACGGGATCATAATTTACTAAATAAATAATATGCTGTATTGAAGGAGACTTAAAAGTAGCGATTGAGACCATAAACTCATTAAGAAAAACTTTACTACAGCAACAAATGAAGTGAGAAATAGTCTCTTATTCTTATAGACATGTGTCCAGTGTGACTTTTTACTGCATATAGAGGAGTCGCCCTCTGTTGGCTGCTAGAAAGAATGCAGGTTTAGACCACTTCAGCTTTTTTCAGTGTGTGGAGAGTCTGCTGGGTGTTTCCTGCTGTCCACCCACAGGTGGCAGTGTTCAGTCCACTCAGCTTGAGTTTTCAAGATGACTTATCCCGTGTGTTTTACAACCCCATGTTTCTATTTCTGAGAGAAAACACTCACAGATTAAGGCCTCTCTGAGCCACCCGGGCACTCTGCAGCTCCCCTGTGCTTTCCTGTGGAGAGCAGCCGTCACTGTCACTCACACAGCGGATGAAAGAGTCTCAAACAGGGCCAGTCGTCTTCTTGCTCATTATTAATGGATGTCTTCAAACACGAGTACATGGACTTTTGAGAATAACTGGGACAACTCACACATTTATTAATGATTGTTTTATTTTTTTATTTATTTTTTTTTTAAAAGGGACCCAAGCCATTTTGAAAGCCTCTTCACTCTTAAACAGTTTTGAACAGCAGATTTGACAAAGCTCCCTCAGACTCCCTCTTGCTCTACCTGTGTTTGTAGTTGATAAACAAATACAAAAGAATGCCTGGAAGAAAGCTGGGCTGACGTCCAAAAAGACAAAAAAAAGAAAAAAGTACAGAGTAGAGAAGTGCTGCTGATGCTGCTGCTGCTGCTGCTGCTGCTGCTGCTGCTGGAGAAGACCCAGACCAAAATGCGACTGGGGTCCCTTTCAAATGTGCTGACTCTTTAGTTTGTCCATCTTAGCGGTGACTGCCCCCTCCGACACTCTTCTGCCCTCCACCCCCCTCCTCCTATTCTCCTACCTGTCCATCTGTGTCCTGTGTGATTCACTCTCTTTGTCCTGCCATTTTTTCTTCCCACATATCTTTCACATCGGCCAGCTCTGCATGCCTTCCTCCTCCTCCTCCTCCTCCTCCTCCTCCTCATCCTCCCTCCCTTTAGCTCCTCTTCTCTACATAGATGTCACTAATATGACAATTAACTCTGTCCGCTTCCCTCTATCCTCCCCTCCCCCTGTTTTGATACAAATATGGCTGCATTTGTACAAGCGAAAAAGACAAAGCGAGTTATGTAGCTGATAGATTCATCCTTTTTGTTTCTAATTTTAGTTTGAATTCCATCTGGACTTTTTTTATTATTATTTTTCTTCCCCCCTCTATTTTCTTTTGGTTTTCGTTGATTTCTTCCTCAGTCTCTGGACTAAATATGTAGCTTTGATACTAAAAGAGGTCATTGTCTTTTTCCCATTTCGCTGCGGAGAACATTCCTTTCTCCTTTTTTTCTTTTTTTCTTTCTTTCCTTTGTTTCGTTGATATTGCATACGTGTCACTGATTGAAATGGAAGGTAGGTAATGCTTTGCCTACGCACGTGATCTTTATGCAGATGAGAATGTGACAAGCACCCTAGCCTGAGTGACGTCAATGTTTCTCTCTCTTTCTCTCTCTCTCTCTCTCTCTCTCTCTCTTTCTGTTGTTTACCAATGGTCTTTAACCAAATTAATTTGACTCCATCAATTATGATTTGACTCTTAAAAGATTGGATTACGTAGAGCTCTGGTTTTTCTCTTTCCTCCTTAACTTCATTCTGAAGTCCAATATCCCGCTCTATCTTCCAGGTCCATTTTCATTCTTCTTTTCTTCTTCTGTTTTTGGTAGAATGCATTCCTGTTTGTCCAGCATCTCTCTGTTTGTTGGTGAATTAGCACATCCGTCTTATGATTTTTTTCACCATATCGACTGTTTCTAACAACTGTCATGAGCACCAGTGGTTGTGTGTTTTCTTATTATACCCGCTTAGTTGTCGTCTCTCTCTCCAGTGGAGAACGAACGGCTCTTCTTTGTGCAAGAATCAGTCGGTGCTTTTTGTTGTATCTTTAGAATTATGACGCAGTCCAGACAGCACACGATAATGCATGCGGAAGAGCCGGCTGTATTTGCTTTCACATGAAACGCCTTTTTGGAGATTCACCCTCCTTTTTAGGACGAGCAGTGACTTACTGTGCATCAAAAGTCCCCAAACTCCCACTGAATCACTAATACAAGTTCTATTTCTGTTGAATGCTGAAAATAGAGGTTCCCTCTACCGTTCACAGTTTGAAGGATAAGGCTGGCATTGCACCGTTTTTTTTTTCCTTCCTATAAAGAAATCCCTTGAAAAGACCAAAGCCAACAATGTGTTCTGTGTGTCAATACTTCTCTACCTATGGGTATTGAAGTATTGACAGACTGCATTCTGTTGCACTGAACCGCTTCCTACAGCTACTGGGATGTTTTAAAAATAGGCTCGCAAATATGTGATTTACAATTAGGACAAAGAAAAACAAAGACCACAAAAACAGCTCCAGACGCAGAGACACAGCTTTGAGCTTAATGCTGACGTAAAGCAAAAACTTCTGGAACTCAAACAGGAAGTCTGTAGTTTCTCTAATGTCCACCTGAGTCTGGCTCCACGAGTGAGTCGATCCCCACAGACCCCCATGTTAGAACGGCCAACGTTACAGCAGAAATAAACATGTTTATCAAAGAACAGTTTAGGGCTCTGTTCTGAACGAGAGGTAATATTCATATAACTCACACATTTAAATTGTATGAAGTGATGAATAACCACTTTGAGCGACGGGTGAGTACCATCACAGGACAGTCCATCAGTTTCTTCACCTGCTGCACTTCATTTTTGGATTCAGGAGGAATCAGGGAGCCAAAACACTGAGCTTCAGAGCAGGAAACCTATCACAAAGTGTTCATCCATCTGTCCATACAGTTAGTCAGCGGGTAACCTCACCAAGCTAACCACGTTCACCCACTAAGTTCGGCGAGTTGTTATGCTAAAAAGCTTTATATATGCTATGAAGTACAGCAAAGGCTGCTGTGAATCACTCGACGTTGACTTCAAGTGATAGAAGGCTGTTTCCACTAACTTCTTGTTGTCAAAATCCGCTTCCCCTTCACTTTGGATCATGCAACTCTGGTCTTTTGGTGAATCAGCCATTTTAATAACAGTTCTTACTTCCCTGCATGCAAGTGTTTCACCAAAACAATTCCCCTAGCGCTATTTTGACCATTGTCGCAAAGGTCGTAGCAACCTGGGCGTAGCATCGCCCAAGACAATTGTGATTGGTTGAAGGAAATACAAACAAACCAGAACGTTATACCAGAATGACAATGAGGTGCGATCAGACGATCCTTCAGTGCTGACTCAGTGGAAACAGGTCCGGCTGTGTGAGACCAAGCTGAGGCTAATGGGACAGTTAACAGTTCTGCAGCTGGTTAGTCACAAACCAAAGTACTGAACAAACTAAAATCTTGTCAGAAAAGCCAAAAGGGACAGCAGCCGTTCTGTCCAGACAATTCAGTTAGAAACTAAACTATGATCCCAGTGGTGGTCCCTGTACAAAATGCATGACGATCCATGTTCGAGATATTTCAGTCTGGACTAAATGGTGAACCAACGCTGGTGTCATTCAAGCTCAGAGGTCAAAGTAGGACTCATACAAAACATCACTGTAGTGTTTTATTTGCACCTGTAACTCAAACAAGGATAAACAGTGTATTTTTAGGCACTATTTTCAGGATTTTCACCACCAGGACCATCTACGCAAGTCCAGAATAAACCGCTGTGTTGTTGGTACTGAAGAGACGCATCACCATGTGCGACAGTGTGACTCACATCTAGTCTTTCTTGGCCTACGATAGAAGAAGAAGCCTGATAATTGCTGGTTTTGATCTTTTCATGGGACAGGAAGGAGAAATACACCACAGTCGCCTGCCTTATCCTTTAAACCCTGGTCATTTTGAAAACGGCTGGTTTCAAGGTGATCCAGTTTATCCATGACTCTAAATGTAGCTTAAAATTCCCAAAGGAGCCAGTCATACTGTCACTGTTTAATCATTTAGAATCTGCAATCTCACTGACTAAAGGCTTTTTAAGGGTTCTGTTATCAGGCATTCCCCCTAAAAAAAAAGGAAAACTAACCTCTGATTGTCATGAAATGTGGCGACAATCTGAAGAATAATGTAACTGTTGTTAAGCAGCAACGACTCCCCGGAACGACGTTAATGGAAACCTTTGTTATCGAGAGAACGATGATGTATCAAGGAGCCCACGAGCACAAACGCCGAGCTAGCTAACGTGTAAACATGTCAGGTAGTAAAACAACACCTGCCCCCCGGTAGATACAACAAGGAGAGACAAAAAAAAGAAAAAAAAAAGGTAAAGAAAATACCTTTAACTCTCACCAGCCAGTTGCTCTGTGATGTCTAGGAAGGCGACTGGGCCCAGAGGATTGACTCTCTGTGTGAGGGACTCCCTGCACATTGTGGTTTTCCTCTTTGCTTTTGAGTTCTTTTCTATTGATTTCCATGCATTGTCTCATGAGTCACTGGCAGGGAAGGGTTTTGTGTCTTTTTCTCTTGCATTTTGTGAATCTAATGATGCACTTATGTTGCCCCACTTTTCCCTTTTCTTCATACCTTACCTACTAAAGGAGGGAATACCACTTTATTGGTAAGTGGATGTTAACCAGAAGGGAGTTAAACAAGAGTAACCATTAAAAAAAACAAAGAAAATGGGTCGCTGTTCACATCTCAGCAATTGTCTTCAGGAAAAAAAAAAATCCAGAAAGAGAAAATTGAGTAGCAGACGATTTGTTTTCTGATTCGATTGATTCAATAATTGTGATCTTTATTTTGTTCCTTCCATTTCTGTGATGTTCCGTCAAGTTGTCTTCTCTTTCTGTTTCGTTTAATTTTTTTAAACTCATTACTAAATAAACTGAAGAAGTCCTCTTTTTCTACTCTACAAAATCTGTAGCTCTGTACTTTCTGCCTTTGCTCTTAAACTTATTTGGTTCACAGTTTTGTTTCGTTTTTTCCCTCTCTTCCTCCTCTTCCTAGTTTTTTTGTTTGTTTTTGCGATTATGATTTCTTCAACTCATTATGGTTTTGCATGCCAAGTATTGCATGCGCTGCACCATAGAGGACTATCTATAAGCCATATGGAGAAAACCTAGATCTTTTTCTTTTAGATGTTTACCTTCTTTTGGCAAGTACACCGTAGCTCTCAATCACCAACCTGAAAACACTCTGATGCTATTTTTGTCCTTTTTTTTTTCTTTTTTTTTCTTTTTGTTTTCCTTTGTTGGTCATGGTTTCTCTACAGAAGCTCCGTCTGCTGACCGCGAGCTCTGCCAGCATCCAGTCCACTCTGCTGAGAGAGCACAAGCTCCACAGCGCCTCCAGCAGGAGCCAAACGGGACAGATGTGCGCGACGGGAGAGGCTGGGAGTGTGGACGGCAGGAACACAGCTGTAGGGAGCTCGGCAACCCAGACGTCGGGGAGGAGAGGGGGCCAGAGAGGCCAGAATAAGAGCTCCCACTCCCCCGCTCACAGCAGCGACTCGGCCCACTCCCAGCACAACCACGCTCACAGGGGGAGGAACTCTCGTCACCAGAGAAAGTAAGCCGTCATTTCTCTCTACACACAGTTTTCAGGCTCTTTACAGACAGTTACTTGACATGTGCTGCTCCCAGGACAAAAGGCGGCCACTCTTCCAAGCGTCACCACCGCTCCGGTCGGGGTCAGGCGCACCAGCGGAGCCAGTCGGCGTCTCCGGGACGACACTCTCACACATCGGGCAGGAAGGCAGAGGAGTCTCGGAGCAAAGCGAACCTCCGGCAGCGCAGCAGCTCCTTCAGCAGCGGCCGGTCGTCCTCACGCTCGGCCTCCAGAGACAGAGGCCCCAGCAAGGCCAAGTCCCCACACAACAGACAGAATAACTCCAGGTGATCCTCAGTCTCCGTCTCACTCATCTGTCATTTAAGCACTTGAGAGCTTTATTTCTTCATTTTACACTCAGGTTTTGTAATCCTCTCTCTCAAACCCCGGTGCTCTCTCACTGCACGGTGCAAATCTGCTCTGCTTCCCCATGAAACTGCTCACAGATATTCTGTTGCTGCACCAGTGTCTTGTGCAGGGGTTCTGTAGGAAGGTACTGTTAGCTGGAGACAGGGTTGGTTTAAAGATCCGAGAGTGAGAGCACAAATCTGGGAGTGGAAGTTTTGTGAGTGCACAGGAGCAGTGTGAGGATGTTTGTCCAGTGTATCTGTGAGCAGGAGCAGAACACGTAGACTTAAGAATTTCTTTGTGATAGGACAATGGTATGAAGTTGTTAGCTGTACCTTGACATGTTTCGGTGTCGCCTTCTTCAGAAGTGTCACCTGACGTGTGTGACGTGTCTTTATCAGCTGTTTTTCCTACTTGCATACCATTGTCCTATCACAAAGAAATTCTTAAGTCTGCTTGTACTTTGAGGACAAAATGAACATCTTTGCTATAGGAGCAGAACACATTTGCACCAAGCAGGGGCTTTATTTCATAGAGAGGGGGCAGGGCTTTGAGGGCTTTGATGGCAAAATCTAAAAGTAAAATGAAGAAATAACTCTCTGAAACTGCAAAGCCACATTCTGGACTAAAGACGGTAACGTACCAGCAGTACTTCGATGTCGTTGCTGTTCTGATGATTCTGTGTTTGCGCTGCAGAGAGAGGGACAGCCCAAACCGCTCCGACACCGACAGCCGAGCCCGGCGCCGCTCACGCAGCTACTCGCCCATCCGCAAGAGAAGAAGAGATTCGCCCAGCTTCATGGAGGCTCGCAGGATCACCAGGTAACATCCCATAATACCACACTTACTGCTCGTTCAAACATTCCTGTTGATCTGTACCGTCAACGCTCAACATGAGAATAGTATAAGTTTTATCTTGTTATTTCCGACAGACTTTAATTTGATTTAAATGTGACACTATAATATAAAGCATGTCCCATAATTCTGCAGTACGGCACTCATGCTGGGGCAGGAGTCACTCTTTTATAGCTTCAAATTATACCGTTGACAAGCAGAAGGAGTAACGTGAGGGAGTTTGTTCCTGCTCGAAGTCGCAAGTGGAAGTTTTAGGAAGTTCATTCTGATCCATTCAATTCTTCTTTGTGTAACATGAAAATGAAAAAGAGCAAACACAAACGGATGAAGGCTGGGTAGACACAGTGAAGTCAGACATAATATGTTATTATCTGCTTTATCTGTTATTGAAGTAAATATCGGAAATGTTATGTGTAGTTGTCTAACTAATCGTGTTTCCTTTAGAGACCCAGTAGTTTGTTTTATATTTTAATGTTTACTGCGTTATAGCCTCAGAGAGTATTCATGTATACTGTAAGAAATATATTAACCCTTTAAGGCTATTTTTGAAACTTCCACCTGAATAAACACTCCTACATTTAGTCAGCTGCAAAACTGTGAAGCCAAAATAAACCACTGTGGACTTTATAAGACAAAAAGTCTCCTCAACCCATCAGCAGGCCAGAGTGAGGTCTGAGAAACTCCAGCAAATAAAACATTTTTACTGTTTACCAAACCAAAACTGTAAATTAGAGTAAAGAACAGCCTTAAAACAGAGACACTGGTGTTACTGGAACTGCTTAAAAAGTCTCAACTGTAACTCTAACAAATTCTGTTAAACAGAAAAAAGCACAACGTCCATTTTCACCACAGAAGTACCAGCTAGCTTCTGTACTGAATGTGTCCTGATGGCAGCCTTTGAAAAATGGCAGCAGATATGGTCCCATTGCAGGGACGTCCAGGGCACAAGGGGTTAAACACAAACATGCAGAGGAAGAACTTTTTTTTCATCCCTGAATAGCGCCCGCAGCCTTTCTGTCAGGCTGGCCGACCACCTCCAGGAATAAGATAAATTAACCTCCATGTTGCCTGAAACCCAGCGCAAAGGGGGAAAAAAAATGCAAATGACTTGGTGCAGCTCCTGCAGCTTCCTGCTCGCGGTGATAAGTGGAGCTGCACCATCAGGAGCTTTGTTCATGTTCAGTACAGTAAAGAAAGATTCCACCTTCTGGTGATTGTGGGGTTGGCAGCATGTGACAGCTGGACCAGTGTAGCATTCAGCTCATGGAAAGAAATGAAATAAATACAGTGACCAACAGCTCACTGCAGGCTGAACACATAGTTCTCCTGTTTAAAGCCAGGCTGCCATTTATATTCCTGCAGAGACTTGCATAAGATGATCAATAGCGCTCTCTCCTGTGTTTGTTCAGTGTGAAGCTACAACCAGGAGACAGTCAGCTTAGCGCAGACGGCACAAACAAACCACACACACTATATTTATCCCGTCACAGACAGGTGTGACAGCGCAGGAGTTAACAGCAGCTGATAAACCGTGACTCTGTGACGGCTCACCTGTCTGACGTCAACAGAAGCTCAGAGTCCCTCCCGTTAGATGTTGTCTCCATAAAGTAGCTGTTGTTGTTGTAAATGCTCGTAACGCTCTCACACATGGATGCTGCTGCAGGTATTTAATCAAGTCAGATGAAAAACTACTACAAACAGCTGGAAGCAACAGACTAGAGCTCACTGAGGAACTTCTGCAGACACGGAACCAGGATGTTCATTCAGAGCCGACGCATTGCTGTAACATCATCATATAGTTTGTTAACTAGCGGCTCTGTTTGCCTCATGTGTCCAGTTGTTATGTGGAGGCTCAGCTCACTGCGTCCTGACTGGCAGATGCGGGAGTGATATTAAATCCTCTCGTGTAAATCCCTGCGAGTGAATCAGAGAATTTCCCAAAAGAAAGAATTTTGTCCTTGAAACTTATCTGAATTTATTTAGATAGCAAGTAATGTTATAAGGATGATTAGTGTCAAAATGAACAAAGTCCTTCAGAGCTGCATAAAAACATCAGACCAAAGCAACGTGATACACTTTGCACAAGGACACGGAAATGAATACGGCAATTAAGCATGATTAAAATGCTGGATTTAATTGATTTATTTAGTCTGTTTGTATTGATTTGTTGTTTCAACAGTACAGGATAATTTATCGTTCCATTAAAAGTGCATCAATTAATCGCTTTATAATGATTCCTCCTACTGAGGAGGACGGATCTGTATCTTGTTTCTGCCTCACTTTTTAGACTCAGTTCTTTATTTATCATTTGATCCTTTTTATCTTTTTTTTTTCCCACAGAAACACATTTGAGACTTGTTGCACTTGAAATGTTGCTCTAACAGAACGAGCGAACGAAACGAGTCGCACGTTCCTGTGAAACGTCGTCCTGTGGCTCCCTGTGCCACCTCTGTTCCTGCTCATGCAAGTGTAAACAGACACGGGTGAAATGTGTGTGCCTTGTTATCTTTCGCTCCAGTCCTAAAGGTCCTGACGCCAAGACGACGGGATGCTGCTGAAGTCAGCTGCTGCAGGCTAGTTACCCTGGTAACAGTTGCCGTGCAGCAGGACCTGCTGCTAGTCTGACTCCTGAAGCTCGGCTGAACAGCAAAACCATCAGAGCTCCCCTGAGTAAACCTGGCCTCCTCCTGTCGTTTCCTGTCCTCTGTCGGCTCTCTGCACCTTCATCTTCTCTTTTGAAACTCACACCGACTCTAAAGCTACACCCCGCCGCGGTGATGCACTAATGTTGTAACACAGGGATGCACAGATTAAAATGCTATCAAGGTTTATTTAAGCGGATACCCCCCCTTATTGCGCAGGCTGTGGGCTCCCAGGGCGGATATTGTAGACAAAGGGTGGAGTTATCTACAGCGCTGCAGGAATGACAAGGTGAAAGACACCTTGTAGCAGCCAGAATACCTTGATAGCGTTTATCTCTCGCCGCACTGTTGACTCTTGATTTCTCTGGGTGTTGGCCTCCACTGAGAAAATGGGGTTCTTTTGGGAGCTAACGGCTAATTACCTTACAGGAAGCACTTGCAGGGTGGCTATTAACCAGGCAATCCCTGCTTAAGCTCCAACTAACAACATGCATTTTTCTGCTGTGTGTGTGCCTGAGTACAATGAGTGTGTGTGTGTGTGATTGCACAGCTTGTTTTTAACCCACATCGCTGCTCTCTTCCAGATCCTGTACTGATCATAAGTCTACCACTTCTGTGGCCTAACACTGATTTGCTCTTAACCAAATCCTTAACAGTCTGCTCATAACGTCTGACACGTCACTGACTCCACCTGGTCTCTCCCCAGCGCCCGGAAGCGTCCCATCCCCTACTACCGGCCCAGCCCTTCGTCGTCCAGCTACGACAGCAGCCCGTCGAGGTCCAGCCGCAGCCGTAGCCGCAGCTACAGCAGCTACAGCCGCAGCCGGAGCCACAGCCGGAGTCACAGCCGGAGCCGGAGCCGGAGCCGGAGCCGGAGCTGGAGTCGAAGCCGCAGCCAGAGCCGGAGCTGGAGCCGCAGCAGGAGCCGCTCCCGCAGCCACCACAGCTACTACAGCCGCAGCAGCTACGACAGCCCCGGCTTCTGAACGCAACAGACAGCGCGGTGGAGGGCAACGCGAAGAAACGTACTGCGCTCCAGTTCAGTCATCATGTATCTTTAACGAGCTCTCGACGGCGGCCGAGCTGCTGCACGGTCCAGGGTCCAAACTCCTCCACCCTGGACCGTCACGTCTCTTAACACAGAGCCTGGATCAAAGAGGAGAAATGTATTTTGATATAGCACATTACTATGAAATTGGCTGTCACTGTTCATGTCCTCACATATACAAGGTATTCAAGGAAATGGGTTTCCACATGTCAAATATTAATTGGCTGAGCCCAAAGAACAAATCTCGCTGTATGTTAGCACTTTCTTTCTCATCTTCCACAAGGCAACCAAAAATGAATCCATTAACAACTATATGCTATATAAATATATATAGAAATATATATGCTAAACAGAGGGGCTGAGGAGGAGACAAAGAGAAGAGAGACACACATCAGAGGAAAAGAGCTTACTGTACATTTCAGAGACGTTTTTCTTTTTGGTTTTTGTTCCCCTCATCATGTATTCATCCCCCTCCCCCCCAAAGACTTCCATTTCATCGAAGCACAGAGATCAACAAACGACGAGAACAAAAGAGAAGTCGGCGGATGAATTGGGAAAAACAAGACGAGGAACTTTTTTTTAAAACGATATTGTATAGGTCGGTCTGTATAGATGTAAACTCTCCTAAGTTCTGGCTTTGTAAACTATGCACTGTATATTCCATTTAGTTTGAGGAGGCTTGTTTAGCATGATGCATCAGGAGAGACTTGCTGCTCGAAGGGTGATGATGGAAGTGGAGGGCGTCAGGGTGAGTCTGTGGCCCCGCCCCCTTTGACCTTTACAGTATGTCAGACACCTGAACGGGAGAGCGGGAGGGGTGGTGGTGGTGGTGGGGCGGGGGCGGTATGTATTAAGTACTTTTACTCTCTACCCTGTTTAAATGATTATGTTCATTCTGCTAATCATGTGTGTGTGCATGTGTGAGTCTGCGTGAATGTGTGTGTGCGTGTGTGTGTGTGTGTGTTCGTACCTCCTCTGCAAGGATCGGTGAGGTCATTATTTATTTATGTGTACTGCACTGTAGCCTTCACCCGTGGCTGCTGTTTGGTACTGTACAGGTAAACCGTCTGCAAAAAGTCTCCATGCACACGTGTGTGTTGACCTCAGCTATTTATGAATTTACTGTATTTATTTATTGGGTTATTTATTGTTTAGTTTATTTATCATTTTTTCGCTGTAAAGCAGTTGGATCATGCTTCGAAGACGAGATTGCTGCAGATTTTAAAAAAAGAAAAAAAAACAAAACAACAAAAAACATCCTGTATATGTCCATGTTTTACACAAAAATGGCTTCTTGTGGCGAAGGCTTACTATCATGATCAGATTAGCGAGCGGTGTGTAGATTCGCTGCTGTGTGCTTAAGATGCTCTGATTTTAGCCAGTGGAACCGAGTCTTCGCCCACAGCTACTCCCACGACCGTCATTGTGCATCCGCGGCCGATTGTGACGGTTCGTTTTAACGCAGGCCATCGGGGCTGCGCCGGTATTGAGGAACGAGGCATCAGCCCGGAGCAGAACATCTCCCCACGTGGAGAGGAGAGTCCATCATTCTGCTCCGGCATTCTTTACTCCCTCGTGTAATGGGCCGCGTCATGTTTCTGTAAGAGGACCCCTGGTTACCAGCTTCGACACAACATGTGTGACAGCGCAGCAGAGAGAGCAGCAGGTCTCGTCTGCGGCTTCGGTAGGACGGCGAACAAACTGGCGATACAATCAGGGATCACCCTAAGTCTTCCTTACCATTCGTCCAGTCTCATGCCACTCACACGGTGTTGCATTAACCCAGTGTAACCCAACTATGATACTCTGCAAAAACCTGCTCATTTATTCCAAGTATAGCATTGCCCCTTTGGTTCAAATCATTCTTTGTATTGTACAAGTTATTATACCTTACAATAAACAAACAAATGGGGAAACGATCAAACTCTCGTGTCGCTCTTTTTCTTGTCTAACTGCGGGCAGGCTTTGGGGAACCATACTTAGAATACTCCAAATGTAAAGGCAAGCAGATTGGGGATACATTTAGTAAAAATTGGGGCTTCTACAATTCCAAAATACCTGTTTAAATAGGATAAAGAACAATATATTTTCCAACTCTTACTGATCCCACGGTGGGGAAAGTTCACCGTTACAACAGCTCCAAAAAGAAAAAGTGTAAAGTCAGTACAAGAATAATTTAGAAACACACAGTTGCACGAGAAAACATTATATACAGAAGATGATCTTTTAAGAAGACTGTATACACAAGGATGAGGCAGTAACAGTTATTGCACATAAGTAGGATGCGTATGTAGGAGGAAAACGTGCAGCAGGTAGACCAGTGAAGTTTATGATGTAAAGTCTGACTGATGTTGGAATAAAAGACTCCTTCTTCAAGGACATCAGGGCAGCTAATTCTTTGCTCTCACAGATACCTGCCCATCAGTTCGTCTGCCCAAACACCAACACTGGTCACCAACGTCAACATCCCAGACAGCAGCACATGAACAGACCCTCAGCACCAGAGCCACAGAGGCAGGGGTCTACCACAGCAGGCAGGACTCCAGGTGCAGGCTGATGCCCCTGAGACGGTCCAGCAGATCGCAGCAGGATGCAAGATGCAAGCTGGGACAGCGTACACCGAGAGACACAGCCAAACTGCTGGGGCAGCGTAACAGAAACATCTGTGCTGAGTTTAGGTTACCAAGTCCCCAAATCCCAAAGGGACACACCACTGACAGCGGCTGAGAACAACAGAGCTGAGATCCTTTGGGACATGAAGTTCCAAATTGAAAGGCAGCTGCTGGCTAACCAAGCTGACACAGGAGGAGCAGAGGAGGGCAGTTGTGGTGGATGTGGCCGCTGGCAGCAGCATCAGGAAGAGAGGAGCATGAGAGGATCAAGAAGTACCAGCGACTGATATGATGCAATGGTGGCCCATTGCTTGCAAGCCCCCCACAATCGAAAACCACCTCCTGCATTTAAAACAATCAAACTTCAGACTAAACCAAACACAGCTGAAATAATCACAAAACTATTCACTTAGCAATTTGGATTTGAACATGAACACTCCCATGGCCCGTTGCACTGCTAACATGGAAGGAACCTGCAATCATGCATCTCATTAAACACCAAGAGGTTCCACCTAGTGGTCCAACCAGGTACTACTGCTGGTTTACAATTCATTTTCTCAGTTCACTTCACTTTAATTTCAGTCTTAATTATACAGCATCATTTTACAACATGTGTCATCTCAAGGCTCTTCACATAGAGAGGTGAGGACCCAAACTGCCATCATATTAAATGACTATGAGAAATGTGTTAGATTGAGTTTATCCACAGTCACCTGCTTCCCTGCCACCTGTTCAGAACCTCCCTCTGACTGGTAGCTCAAAGCTGACAAACATTCAAACACATCACAGAAGAGCATGCACAAGTAAAAGTCCTCTTATAGATATTTATGTTCATTTGTTTTTATTTAACATATTTGGTACTGAGTTCATCCAAAAGTAACAGAAAGTAATCGAGTTAAATTACTTGAATATTATGATACTTAGGAGCCCCACAGGGCTCTGTGCTCTCTCCATTCCTGTTCACCCTGCACACCTTGGTCCACTTGTAGAAGTTCTCTGACGACTCTGCAGTGGTT